TGTGTGTGTTTGTTTGTGTGTGTGTGTGTGTGTGTGTGTGTGTGTGTGTGTGTGAAATGACAGGCAACATAATTTAACAATTGTAAAGGTCATAAATGAGAAACAAATGCTAAGTACCTTACTGCAGTCCTCCTGCAATTTGGCAGTTTGTGTTAGTGACTAAACCATGCCAAGTCATCAAAGCAGCTAAAACAGCAGATTCCAATTTTTAAGCAATGGTGAATGTAAATTTGCAGGAGATTCCCAAAGGTTAATGCTTTTTACAGCTACATATTTTGTGCCAGCCATCGAGCGCTGTCAGCGATAGCACAAGTATTCTTTTCAAAATCAATCTTGGGTTTAGAATCTATGGTTTTCAGTTGTTGAAGGAATGAATACATTCCTTTAAAGCACAGAATCTGAGGTTGCATGAGCAAAGAGACATATCAGTATTTTATGAGGACATTTAAGAAGTGTTCTATATTTTTATAAATGACTAAAGACAAGTACATGAGGTAGTATGAGAGCACTGTTACAGCTCATTGTGTGTGAAGGACCTTTAAAGGATATTTAAGAGTAACCAAAGTAGCAAGGAAACAGCTCGATTAATTTATCTCTATTTTACAAACAATGTGTTATTTTCTGATAAATGTTTCAGTGTTAAAAGCTCAGTTTAAAAAAAAATTGCAATCCCATTCACAGTGGCGGTCTGCGACATAATTTCCCAATCTTTAAAATGTAAATCAAGATTAATCTAATTAATAAAGGATTATAGTATGTTTTATTACTGATAACCATGTACCTGTCACGAATGCACTTGGATCCGCACGTCTCACGTCTCGTCAGCCCCGTAACAGTACCCATACAACAGATTTCTCCCTAATATCTAAAAATATTAGTAATTGTAATTAACTTGATAATTACTGTAATTACAGGTTATAAACTTTCTGATTAGAGTTTGGACTGGAATTTTTAGGCTACATGTTTGAAAGTCTCTAACTTGTGACTTTAAGCACAGTCTTCATGGTGTACTGAAATAATACTGAAAGCTAGTTAGCTTGAATGGTTACCTCTCATTTATCCCAAAGGAAATAAAAAAAATTCTCCCTTTTGACTTTTTGCATTGCATTATTTGAACATTATTTGAATATCCATTCTGTCGATTAACTAATAAGTAGAGCCATCACACTGAAACGCTGGCATTTGTTTAATGATTGAAACTCCGACAATGTTTCAATCGACACTGTTCATTCTTTTTGTTGCTATCAAGAAATGTAATTTGCAGCACCACAAATTGCACACTTGATTAGATTTATTGAATCATATTTGATTATATTTGAATTGTGTGTTAGTGGAACAACAGCACCACCAGAGAGTCATCAGAACTCAATTTCAAATCATTGATCAACTCCATAATACCAAAAAACAAGTATTTTGGCAATGGCAATGGCTGCTATACACGCTACAAATAACTAAATTGATCTGTTCTGCTGTTTAATATATAATAATATGTATTGCAGTAGTTTTTTAACGAATTGTGATTGTGTGACATCAACTGTACCTCAAATACTTTAAGTGGTCTATGTTATGAAGTTTATTTTTAATGGTGCTGTTTTTGGACAGGTTGCTGAATGTCTGTGCCTCCAGTAACTGGTTACCTCCTCTCAGTTCTGTGCATAGCCATTCTTTACAGCAAAACTGATCCTGGTACAGCTTTGTGTGTACTCTGAGTATATTCTGCCTGTAGTGTGTGTTGCCATTGATTCTCAAGCTAACAGGAAAAGAGCAAACTCTAAATAAAATTTTCAACTTCTGAAAATTATTGAATCCAGTACTTCAATCCCAGTTTATACTAGTACTCTGTGAACAACTGGATCTGCTTTAACTTTGTGTTTAAGCTACTTTTGAACTGCCCGTATACTTTTTGTTTTGCATTGTGCTGACCTTGCTGTGTCAAAATGTAATGCTGGGATATAAGTAACCTGGAATTGTGTGTAAAGAGCTATGGGACTGGAAATAATGAGTTCACCAAGCATATTTTAACATGCACCTATTTTGTAGATTTGATATGTAAATATAGGGTGCATTAAAAATCTGTGATTGAAAATGGCATTTTCTGTGCTTTCATTGTGAATCAAGACAGTGGTTCTGTTATAGTGTGTATAGTGTGTACCCTGAAACTCTTGATAAATCTGCTTAACGTTTTTAAGCAGTTTTAGCCAAATTTGGGTCCGATAATCTTAAAACCATTGCTAAGAAATAACTTTTGATATTTAAGAAATTGACCAAATTGTTTATTTAAAAAAATGTATAAAATCAAACAAATCAATTTTGCTTCAGTGTAGTAATGTATCACAAATGTAATATTATCTAACACCATCTTGCTCCACCAATACCAATTATTTCAAAGAAAAAAAAAGTCTTTACATAAACTTATACTCCAATATGAAAATACAATTACTGGGTCATCCAGAGGTAGAACTTGTTTGTCTGATGTTAATACTCTCTGGTTTGAATCCTATGCATCACACATGAATCTATGTACACATGAATCTATGCTTTTGTAATCAATTTAAGTTGTAATTAAGTGGATGTATAACAGGATATAACAGCAGCCGGCTCTAATTTGGTTCCATTTTAGTTAGTGAATTCACTGACTTGATTAACTTGATCTCAAAGTAATATGTAATCATGCACTAAATATTAGAATTACCCATTAAAATTACACTAATATTCAGCACAAAATTAAGTCAAGTCGTCACCTTTATTCATATAGCACTTTATACAATACTGATTGTGTCAAAGCAGCTTTACAGTGTCAAACAGGAAAACAGTTTGTCAATAATGCAAGAGGACAATAACAAAGAGTAATTCTTCAGCTAAAGTCAATTCATTGATGATTCAGTGATGTCATCATCCAGTTCAGCTAAATTTATGTTATGTCAGGGAAGTATTTCAACATTTTTATAGTTTTACAAACAAAATGGGACTCCCCCTTTTTTCCCCATAGATTTTGTGGCAATTCATTGTTTTTACCTACAAAAGCCATACATTTGACCGTATTTTACAGTAAAATGACATAGTATACGATGTTAAATCATTTACAGTTATTCACCATATATGGTAACATAACTAATAATTAATACAATCACAGGGCTAACATACACATTCATATTCACATCTATGGTCAATTTTGTGTCATATTCACATGTGTGTATGTCTTTGTGATTGTGGGGGAAACCAAAGCATTGGGAGGAAATCCACATCAACACATGGAGAACATGCAAGCTTCACACAGAAAGGCATCTTGTCTTAAGACACCAACTGTAATGTATTTAGTCTGAGTGAATTGTACTGTCATAACAATATTGACCTGTGTACCAGTAAAATAATGTTAGTCTAACATTACTGATTAAATAATGAAACCAAGCCCATCTCTGTACATTCAAATTCCCATGTCAAATTCTGCAGCACTCATTCTGTTTGTTTAGTCTCTGTCAATGCTCATTAAGGCCAACACTGTGAGTCACTTCTTTGTCATGCTGCTCCTTAAAGGTGAAGTCTAAGATTTCAAATACGTTCTCTTAACCCAGTTAATTGTTTATTGACTCCTACAAGTATGACATTAATGAGTTTATCTCCCCCAAAAGTGTAAACATTGAGCCTCCCAGCTAACTTAAAAAAATTTAGAGTGGTCCACTCAGATCTGTCAATCTCCATCCAGCTCAACCCATAGCAAGAGTTTCGGGCAACTCTAGCAGGCTGAGCCAGAGGGTGTTTAGCTGGTGTGGGACGATGGTTAACGTGTTACTAGAACCAGGAAGTATGACCATATTTGCCAGATTCTGTCAACACTGCACCGGGAACACTTCCCCCAATGTACTTGTTACATTGTAAGAAGAATGACATCTACTCTAATATTAGTCTGTTATATTCTTATTCCGAGGTCACCGTAGCCACCCAGATCCAGTCTGTATCCAGATCAGATGGTGGATCAGCACCTAATTACCTCTGTAGCCCTGAATGTCAGCGGAGACCATGTCAAGTGGACAAAACCTAGAGACAGATCCCCTGTGAATACCTCGTCGGCCATCAACACAAGACCACAAGAGCCAGACGAGTCCTCTGCTCAATCTGACATGCATTACTGCCTGGAATTAAACCACACCATGCTGGTTTCATCTGGCCAGAGGAGAATTGGCCCCCTGACTGAGCTTGGATTCTCCCAATGGTTTTTTCTCCATTTCTCTCACTGATGGAGTTTTGGTTCCTTGCCACTGTCACCTTTGGCTTGTTTAGTTGGGGACACTTATTTTCTGGAAACATTGGAAGAGAACTGAACTTAGCTGGACGATGACATCACTGAATCAACAATGAACTCACTTTAAGTGATAAACTGACTGTTTTCTATTGTCCTCTTGCATTATCAGCACACATTTTCCCTGTTTAACACTGTAAAGCTGCTTTGACACAATCTGTATTGTATAAAGCGCTATATGAATAAAGGTGGCTTGAATTGACTTGACTTAAATGTGAAAAAAATTATTCGGTTACAGAAGTGCAAGGCAAAATACACAGAGACAGGAAATGAAGTCAAACAAGGGTGAACATTAGTGGTGCTTTTACAAGATGGAGAAATATGGTGTTCAAGATGCCGAACTTGTGGAGTTTCAAGTCCCAGATCAAATAGTAAGTTATTGTAAGGGGCATTTGCTAAGGTTATATAAAGGTTAAGGGTTAAATATGCTTTTTTTCTTATTTTTCTATGGTGTTACAATTTGAATACATATTCACAGTGTACCTGGGAGGTGTGCAGATGGCATTACCATCTTGCTTTGTTGTCAAGTTTACAGCCACGTTACAGGTTGTTCAAAGGCATA